ATTACTATTTGGTTAGCGCGCGAATAAAGACGCTCATTAATAAGCTCAGATAAGAAAATGCGAATTAGTGATGTGCTGAGTCGTTACTATTATATATTGATTGATACTCGGTACCGATTTAAAAAACTATCCAATACTTTCGATACTCGGTACCGAAATGTTGCAATTTCTAATAACCAAAAATATGGAAAATAAAAGCAGTTCAGGGGAGTCTCGCCTATGAATAGCCGTATCTAGGGGCTTAAGTAAAACGATGGTTGTTATGCCATTAAAAATCGGGATGAGCATTTCTTTAAAGCTTCATAAATTTAAATTTCCCTTTGTCCAAAATTATACGAACTGGAAGTATTGGGTACCGACATTTTTTTTTTTTTTGGAAGTATTGGGTACCGACAATTCACCACATCACTAATGCGAATTTATTTTTAAAACAGTTTCGTATTCCATTGAAATGCGCATCATTCACTTAACGGAACTACGTGAAAGTATCAATGTCTGACACATTAAATCAAAATAAAAATAAAAAATTATAACATTTCATATCAAACAAATTAATAATTAATGGCCATAAATTTTATATACTACTAACCCATATTAAATATGTGTGATAATTTTTGTACGATCATTAGGGGTGTTTATGTATGATCATTAATTCAAAAATCTATTAGCTAACACATAAAAATTAAATTTATAGCGCGCATAAAAATTGTGGTGAGGATTGTGATTTCGAGGCAAATGCACATCGACATACATATGTATGTAAATACATTAGACTTTAGAAACAAACAATTTTAAATTTTCGGTGGCACCTACATATGCACATCCGGAAATAAACACTTTTTTTTTTAAATAGTTTTACCGGAATAAACGAAATACTAACTTAGCAACAGTTTAATGATTTTAAAGTGTTCAAAACTGAGATCTGCTGGCTTAGTACTAGAACGGGGTACTTGAAGTTAATGAACTTTGCAGTTGAAATTATTGTATGATTAAAGATACGAAATTACCCTCTTAAGACAAAAACATCGATGTACATATTTATCATACATTAAATTCCGAAGATATGACAAAAAATTTAAGAAGGTGATGCCTACGTTCGGCAAAAGAAAATTCGATATAATCTCGCAAAAATAATTCATTAGGGTGCCTCACCAAAAAAAAAAAATAATTATAAATCGCTTTTGCCACTGGAATTATAAAGTTTATTATATTTTAAGACCTCCACCGAAATATTTCTTAAAAATTTTTGGCTAATGTGAAAATACTTAAAAAAATCTCATTACTCTGATTCCGTTGATAAAATGTTTAAACATTTTTATGCAGATCTTCTAAGCGAAACTCTTCTATGATATATGGTGATTTTTTTTTTTGGAAAAATGTAATGGCGAAATGTAGCTTCAGTATAAGGGTATAAAAAAGTGCTTTCAAATAAAATTATTCTGCTTTATCCTGTGTTTCACTTGAAAAATAAAAAATTCACCCGAAAATTTGAAAAGTTAACCGGTTCGGGGGAAATTAAACTCATGATAAGGCTGACTATAAAAAATGTACATATGTATGTATGCTGCTAGAGCAGAAAAAACTTTGTTTAATTTGCACATTTAATTTCAAATTTGCACTTTAATGAAAGTATTTAATTTTTTAACACTTGTCATAAATTTTGTACATCCATGCATACATATGGACATTAGGGTGGTCCAAAAAAAACTAAGGTCGGAATTTTATTGCGCTAACCTCCTAGCATTGTTCTATTTTGAAAAATATATACCCATATTTTCTTATTTTCAAATCAAAAAATATTTAGAGCTACCCTCAGAGCTTTGAGTGACCTCTAAATACTTTTTGTTTTCAAAATAAAAAAATTACGATTTTACTTTTTCACGTGCATTTTTGGACCCCCTAATGGGTACGTATTTTTTTGGTCTTTTCGTTATTCCTAGAAAGCTACGCCGAAAAAAATAGCTAACGTGGCGTATAAGTGACTCATGCCATGATTTCCATATTTCGGTTTTTTTGTTCATTTGAATTTTATTTTTTATTTTTATTATCTTTTTTATTTGTTCCAATTTATTCAAAAAAAAAAAATTTAAATTTTTATTTTTTTTTTTGTGAAGCGGTCGACTGACCGGCCATTCAAGCGATTCGCTCGTTCGTCTTACCTAATTAGCATGACAATTAGTGTGATGTTACCACCGGTACGACGAACACCTCAAGCGCTGGTCGGTAGAGAAGAGAGGCGTCTAGCAAGGGGTAATTATACTGTGAAATATATAGCGGTGCTGTGCTTGTACAAAACATACATACCTACATACATACATACAGGAATGAATGTATGCTTAGAATATAAATTTTTCTATAGGCATAGGCGGTAACTATTCGTATTATAAAACTCATCGGCTTATTTGTGCACTTTCTAGTGCGCTAAGTGACGGTCAGTGGGTAACAAGTGCTTCGAACTTCGACGAGTTTTTTGTTGGAGCATTACTAATTAAAATCTTTTTAATTTTTTTTTTTTTGGTTGTTGAAAAGTGCGATAAGCCAGCAAGCCAGCTGGATTTACAGATAACCTCGGTATGTGAAATTAATGCTTTGTTTGATTAAATAATGCGCTCCGCTGGCAACAAACATGAACTCATGCATATGTGTATGTACATATGTAGACCCAGGCGTGTTTGTAGACGCAAGTGTTTGGCCACACACGAGCCACTTTCGGCTGGAAGATTCGATGTGAACTACTACTTCGAGATTTGATGAAATATTCACTACTCAGAAGATCACGTAGGCATAATCAGTGTTGCCGTTGAGAATTTTCAGAAAGTCGCAAAAAAGGGGCCATTGACGAAAAAAAGGATCACCACATTATTTTTGCTTTTCTTTTTTAGTAAAAGAATAAATCTGTTGAATTTAAAAAGAAAATAGCGGGATAAGCTTTGCATAAAACATACACATAAATCTAGGTGCTGCAAGGAGAAGAGTTGTATTTCCTTTAAAAGTTTTAAGTGATGCATTTTATAGTACTTACAGGAGAAAATACTTCTAGTAGCATGGTTTTGTTAGCATTTCCTAAAAAATATCTCTGAAAAGAGGCAAAAGTCGCACATAATTTTGGGAAAAGGCTAAAAAAATCAAAATTTTCAAAAAGTCGGGTCAAAGGGTATTGGCGCTCACAAAGGGGTCAAATTGCCCCTTTAGCCGCACAACGGCACCACTGGGCATAATAGAGGATTTTTAACTAAGAATTTGTTGTGAATTTATGTATATTTCGTCGCAAGATAAAGCGTGAAGCACCTTTAGTGAATGGGCATTATTAGTTGCTTATTCTCATTTTATACGAACGCGGGCATGAATTATTTTTATTTATTTTTTTTTTTGTTACTGTAGAAGTTTGGTTTTTCCTAATTTCTTAGCTTAGCTGGTGCGTAGTTGAGTACATTTAAATTTAATTTAATTTGTCGTTGATTTGTTCGCGATGCTCGTTATCATATTGGCTGCTGAAGTTGATTGCGAAGTTGATTGACCTACATTTTTATGCTGCATGCTATATTATTTTTCAATGGATTTTTTGTTTTTCAATACACATTTTTGTTTTTATTCTTTTTCAAGCCTGCTTTCCAACTTTCTTCAAAACCTTTTAAATTTTGTGTTTATATTTTCATTCTTATCTATTGTTTTGTTTGCCAGCCCTTTTTGAACCTTGTTTCCAAACGTTTCTAAGTTTTTTTTTTTCAATCAAGTTTTCTCGAAACTTTTTCCCAAATATGTATACTTTTTCAAAATGTTCTAAGACTTTATTTCTTTTTTCTTTTCAATGCTTCTATTAAAAAAAATGTGTTTTCTAATTAGCTCTAAAAACTTTTAAGAATTTTTTGAAAGCTTTTTTTGTAGCTTTTTTCAAAGCTTTGCCCATTTTTCCCCAGCTGATATGTATATTTTTTTCAAAATCACACTAAACGATATTTTTTACCATTTTTCGACAATATTTTTTATTATTATAATTTTTTTTTTTTTGAAACGTAATCTTAAAATCTATGACCATATCCTTGCAAGCTTTCTTTGCACCTTGATTCATTGCTTTACCAAGTATTTTGTGGTAAATTTTTGTAACATTTATTTTTTCAGATTTATGCATGTACGTTAATATTTTCTGCCAAAATTTTTTGGACACTTTTCAAAAAGTTTAATTTTAGTTTTTCAAATTTGCTCTCATAACTTTTTAGAATTCTTTTTAAGTATGTACATACATATGTACTTTTATTTTTTTAAATTTCTTTCCAATATTTTCTAAACTTTTTTTTGCAAATTTACGCCAAACAACTGCTGCAAGCGTTTTTTAATAAATGTTTTTCTTCAGAATTTAAAAAAGTTCAATTTTGTTTTCATTCTTCAAATGTAAATACTTAATAATAATAATAATAATAATAATAATAATAATAATAATGTACTTTCTTATTTTCAGCCCTTCTCAACATTATTTTTAAAAAGTTGATCGAATTTATTTTTTGAATTTTTTTTCCTTTTAATCCTTTTATTCAAATTATAATATAGCTTTCTTATATTTTAAACTTTTCTTTGAAACTTGTTAAATTTTTTTTATGTTTTTGTTTTTTATTTTTTCGATTTATAAATTTATGCTTTGCATTTTCAAGCTATTTTTCATTTATTCTCAAAAGTTGTTTTACTCCTATTTTTTAAAACTTTTGCAATTCCTCTTCCATGTATTTTTTTTTTCTTCAAATTTAAGCATCACGTTTTTTTTTAAATTTTTTAAAACTTTTTTCCAATTTCTTTTTTTTATCAAAAGTTTTTTTTTTTAAACATGTTTAAACGGTGTTTCAGTCTATTTTGTTTAAATGTTTATTATATTTTTTTAATTTTTTTTTTTGCATACATATTTTCATTTAAATATTTTTATCAAAATAATAACATTATCCTACAAAACTAATATTTAAATTTCTCACAAATAAAACTAATTCCTATCTCACCATGTTTTTCCATTACAGACAATGAATATACACATGTTATTAATAGCACAGCTTGTGCTTTTTGCTGCCTGTATTCAGAGCAGAGCCATTGATGATGTTGACAATTCCATTGAGAATGTTGGTGGTGGCGCTGGTGGTGAAACACAAGTGCACCAACAACGCACACCTTTCGAACAGGATTGGATTAAATTTGCCAAGAAACCACCAACAAAACTGCTGCAAACCCTAGGCCAGCCCGTTGAAATCGTCTGCGAAGTGATGGGCTCACAAGTGCCCACCATACAATGGGTTGTGGGACATTTGCCTCTGTCTGAGGTGAGTTGTGTGAACCGAAGCAAATATGTAATTATATACATATATGTATAGATCTTAAAAAAACCAACAATTTATCTAAACATTTTAAAGCCCTATCTCATACCATTTACTAATCTCATTATCCTTACTCTCTCTCTCTCTCTCTCTCTTTTCCCCACTCGCTTCCACAGATCGACAGTGTTGAATCCAATGTCATATCTGAATCGTCGACAAGCGCCATTGTGCGCGTTCGTTCCGTGCATATCATCGATCATATGCTAAGTGAGGCGCGCACTTACACTTGCGTCGGTCGTACCGGTGGCAAGACCATTTACAGCTCAACAATCGTCTATCCGCAACCGGATATGAAAGAATTAGTGCAAGTGCGTGATAAACCATTCCCTGGCCCACAAAAACCACGCATTGTTTACAATGAAAAGCTCCATTTGGATTTGGTCGATTCGAATATTGTCTTGCCTTGTAAGGTGCATGCTCGCCCACGTGCTGAGGTCTTCTGGATGAATGGCGAGGGCAAATTGATTGAACAAAATCATCGTTTCAAAATTCTACCCTCTGGCGATTTGTTGATCTCGAATATCAAATGGGAAGATATGGGCGCTTACAGGTGTATAGCACGCAATGCCATGGGCAAGGATACTGCGGACACATTTGTCTATCCAGTACTTGTAAGTATCTGAAGGAGTTTCAGGATTTTTTGCTCAATTATAATTTAAAAATTTATTGTGCAATAAGGGCGAAGAAAATGTGGACAATTTACTTACATAATATTTCAACCTTGTGTACCAAATTAAAAACTTTTTTTGTTGGAAAAGTATTTTTTAATAGGGTTGCCGCAATGTCTCTTTTAGTTAAACGGGTAATAATCGGCTTCTGAAAGATTTTTAATATAATGTTGAGGAATTTAGAAATTATATGGACGCGGCTAAATTCGGTTAGGTTAAACTGGCCGGCGAGTAAGAGCCTAACATAGATCACCCCACGACATTTTGCAAGCTCAAGGCATCGCCTGTATTTTTTTCGAGCAGGGTTACCGTTAGTTGAAAAATTATTTTGCATGATATCAAATTGTACAACAAAAATAAGAAAACAAAACTTTTTGTGGAATATTTAAAAATCCTATTTCTCATTTTTACAGGCAGAGTTGCCACATAATTATATTTTTCACTATTTCTGTTGCTTGAAAAGGTATTTGCTAATGCTGTAAATATATGAAGCTTTGTTTCTCCTGAGAGCCGCAAACGGCTTTAAAAAATTTTGATGGAAATTTTTTTTAATCTATTGAGCGTATTTTTTATAAAAATTTTTAATTTTTTCTCGAGTGCTGAATATTATGATATACTATGAGTCTCAAGAAATTAACACAAGAAGTTAGGGTTGCCAGAGCATTAATTTTGTTAGAGAGACATTTTTTTAAATAGGGTTGCAGTAATGAAAGGTGAAAACAAATAGTTTCTAAAAATCCTGATGAGTATATTACGACATTTTAATAATAGGATTGCCACTAGTGGAAAAGATTTTAAAATATTTCAACATATGTACATGTTTTTTATTTTTTAAGACCAGAGCTACCAGCAGCTTCTGCCATAAAAAATTATAAATATTCATAATTTATTGTAAGCAAGTCAAAATTTTGTCTTTTTACCATTTAAGAGAAAAATTTTTTAGATCTTAAATTAATAGAAAATAGTTAATAATTGTCCACACTTTCTTTGATGTTCTTTTAAATATTCTGTACTTATGTATCTTGTACTCGTTTCAAGTAGCAAACCACTTTTTTCTTAATAATTTATTAAAATTTGTCCTTCCTTTTGTTTTTTTCATTGCAGAAAGAAGACAAATAAGCCAGTTGTGAAAATGTAAAAAAAGGTCTCCCCTACGCCCACCATACACACACACAACAACCGCAAATACACTTTACGAGGCAGAGTTGTACGTATGTAAATGAATGCACGCGATAAAAAAACAAAAACGGTTCCTAAAGTGAAATATGATACCATTGTATTGTACGTTCTATTATAGTTATTTTAAATGCCTGCAAAAGGTGCTACCCCATATTGCGTATGCTTATTAAAATTATAAATACAAAAAAAAAAATAAAAAAAAAAATTTAAAAAATTTAAAATTAAAAAAAAAAAAACAAAAAAAAGAACACTAAAATTAAAAAAATCTATTTCACAAAAACTAATATTTAAAAATGTGCGATTAAAAAAAAATTAAAAACATTTCCGAAAAACCAAAACAAAAAAAAAATTAAATTAACTCTTAAAACGCTAAAAAAATATTTAAAATACTTTTTAAAATCAAACAAATGCGAAAATGTACAAAAAAAGAACATACCAAATAATGATAGGCTATTTTATTAAAGTAAAAAAGAGGAAAAGAAAACGAGTATACAAAAGTTTAAGATACGCACATATGAGAATACATAAAAAATATTTTTTAAAAATGCTAACGAAATGTAACCAGCTCAGTCTCAGTTATAACACTAAATGTTACAAACAAACTTATGCATACAAAAATAGTAGATAGCTATAAGGCTTGCATAACTGCACACACACGACACATACACATGCATACATAAGAATGATAAACAAAAAATATATAAGTTGTGAAGGAAAAAACAAAACGGCAAGTTAAACGTCAAATTATGTACAAGTCCACATTCTTACATTCATACATAAATACATCAATAGAATATATAGTGATCAAGTATCTGCTTTTAGTGCTAATGAATATAATTATTATTTTTTTTTTTCAAAAACTATAATTTCTCTAAAAATGTCATGCATTTTTGTCATTAATAATAGCTACATACATATTACCCTTAACTGTATTAGTTAAAAAAAAAAAACGAAAAGAAAAAAAATCAATAGAACAGCACGCACACACATAGTCCAATTTTTTTCAATTATTTGTTTTTATTTATTTATTAATAACAATGGGGTTCGTCTCGAATGCATACACAACAAAGAATGCAATAAAGTTAAATTATTCATAACCGAATTCGTGTCAGTTGTTTATATATATTTTTTACATTTTTTCAAAAATTTGTTTCTTGTTTTCCTTAGTTCTTATGCATAGTTTGAGTTAGTCATTAGTTTATTTAATTTTTTACACAATACCAGTCACTTACGTGTACGTTTATTTTAACTTTATTTAGAAGTAGAAAAAAATAGAAATTTCGTCGGTACTTAATTTTTCACTTAATTAAAAAAAAAAAAGTATTTAATATTTTGTAAAATTTTTAGTTTATATAAGTTTGTTCTACAAATTTTTGGGAACTAACATATACATACATACATACAGCCATAGATATGTATGTATGTATTTGCATACATCTCAGCATACATACTTGCATACAGCATACATACATAACTACAACATGCATACGAACAAGAATCCATTCATATCACTAAGCATTAATTTATTTATTTAAACCACCAAATGTCTCATTACAAGATAACAAAAAAAAAAACGAGAGAGAAGCACAACAACTTACCTACCCTACACACATACGTACGTACACTCCAATTTCCATTAATCTTTTGCTGTAGTTCCATAAATTCACATACACACATACATACATACAATTAAGTTGCCTTTAGTTTTTGTTTTTTTATTAATTTATTAAACTAATTTATGCCTAAATAAGTTAAATACATTTACATATGTATAAATAAAATAGTTTTATACCGAACTGATGTTTTAAATGCAACACCATTATTTTTGTTTATTTAAATTTATAGTAATAAAATATAAAATTTCTGCGTTGAGATTGTGTAAAAATGTATACACACTACATACATACATACATAAGATGGAAAAGTTGAATAAAAATAAAAAATTAAATGGAATTTTCAGTCTTTTATTTTCAATGGAAACTGATGCAGAAAGTATTAAAAACACTTTTTTTTATAATTTAGAGGCTTTTTTCGGGAATCGCAATATATGCGGCACAAACGCCGCCGTTATTGCAACAATTTAATTTTTGGTGTGCGTCACGGCTAAATTTATATAAGAACCTATTCATTCCACTTTTCGAAGTTCGAATGTAGGAAAGTGATCGCACAAAATTTCAGTTTTCGCAAATGACTGCGATGGTCGAGTGGGTAGACTCTGGCTCTTCATTCCGCGAGTTGGGAGATGGAACCCTGGCAATATAATGAAAGAAAGAAAACAAGTATACGGTAGACTGTTTAGAGACGGTGGAAGAAAAGTGAGAGGGATGGATGCGGTGGGAGGTAGGGTGAGTGAGTGGGGACGGGGTGAGAGAAAAGAAAATAAGAGAGGAGGAGGTTTTTTAACATAACACAAAAAGGTTACGAAACAACAAATTAATGAAGAAAACACGAAAAATGTAAGCAAACATTTTATATGTGTATGTACATTAAGGTAATCCAAAAATACATGCGGGGAAAAAGTTTAAAATGTTAAGTTCTTATCCCCTAGCATTTTTCTAAATGGACGAAAAGAATACCCGTATTTTTTTGTTTTTAAAAACCATTTTATTTGGGACAGTCTTAAAACCCATGCAGTTTCCCATGTATTTTATATGAGAAAAACATTCTTGCGTAGAAATGGTATAGAATCCTTGAAAACAGGGACCGAACATAACAGTTATTGATGAAAACTGTCATTGAAAACTTCACTATGAAGGAAATGTTCCAAAACTAAGTGAAACATACCAATCGATTTCTTTTTTCACCGAGAATCAAACTTGAAAATACATTTTTATTTAAACTTTTATTATGAAAAATTAAAAATAATAACAATTATTTTTAATTTTTATCTAAGTAATATTTAAATAAGCTATTTTTGATTTTTATATTATATGTCTTAGATAATAGTTTTTGAAGACTATTTTATTTATAAAAGTCTTTAATAAATATCAGTTTTATTTTTAAGTCATACGTATAACAGTCATTATAATTTTTCGCAGTTAAGAAGGTGTTGGAGAACCAAAGTTTACTAAGCCTTATAGAAATGACTTTTATAAGTATGATTTTAAAAATAAAAGTTAGTGACTGACGACTTTTATAAATAATTATGTAACTTGTACATTAACAGACTAAAACTGAAGGGCCTAAAAAACTGTACTCAAAAAAATTCTAACACTTCCGAGAAAAAAGTTTGAAATTCAGGTGAAAATTTGTTGCACTTTTTTGTAGTTTCCTACAAATTGTTAAACTTGGGTTTATATGGGGTTTGTCTGAGAATGAACTATATTTTAATTGAAAATTCTTAAAAATAAATAAATAAACATAAGTAGCACACAATATCACTTTGAAATGACGTACTATGTATATGACCGATACTGTACATATGTACATAAATAGAAATACTCTTTCCTAAAATTGGTCCTATAGGTGTCGCTGGAGTCAAGATGTCTCTTAAGCCGTTTTTGTTTAATAAATGCTATTGGGATCAAAGTGGAATAGTCATGTGAAAAATAAAAGAGATACGACAATTTGACCATTTTGGACTAAATATTTTTCTTTTGTTTGGTTATAGTTTATCGCTTTTTTTTATAAAAATGCATGTCATTAACTAACAAAAACCATACGATATTTCAAACTTTGTAGAAAAATTTGAAAAATTCAACAAAATTTTACAACAATGAAAAAGTTTTTATTAAGAGGATATTATAAGTAAGTATAATAAAGTAGTAGCCCATTAAATTTTAGCTCAAGAAAGTGCAAGTTTTAGGTGGCTAATAAGACATCGCATTGATTTTTTATAACAATTTTTTTTAGCTCACATCAAAAAAAAATTATAATAATAATTCTTAATAAAAATTTTGTTGTAAAATTTAGTTGAATTTTTCTACAAAGGTTGAAATTTTGACTCATCTTGTTTTTTTTTTTTAGATAATAAGGTGAATTTTTATATAATATTAATAAACATTTCACTTGACTGTATGTCTAAAATATGTAGAAACTATCGATTAGAATTCAGAACTAGCTACTGCTTGAGAAATTACTGGTTTTGCTTGCCGGCACCGTCACTACTTCCACTTGAAACACTTACTGATAGATTTCTGAACGAACCTATTATCTTTTCTATATTTAAAAACGAGTACAAGAAGAAAACGAACATAATCACCTGTTTTAGCAACACTGCTCGTTTATATAGATAGTTCGGGACTTTTTCTGTGATTAATTTCGCGACTTGTTCATTTCGACCTTAAAATCAAATTTCATGTGCACCTGGTACTTACATTATCATCATATCCAAATATCGAAAGCATAAGAATAAATAATAAATTTTTTTGTATTCATTTCTGTTTAAATATGTTTATTTATTTTCTCGGCTGTTGCGCTTTTATAAATTATATCCATTCGATATACAATACATTCATAATCATTATTTAAAAAATACAATCCAAAGCAATACAATTCAATGGATTCAAATTCAATACATTTCTTTGCTTTGACACTTTAAATGGTACATTTTTTCTCCTTTCAATACATTCTTAAATAGCTAATATGTATCCCACGTACATACATCATATTTACATAAAGGTGTATTACTTACTT